TCACCAAAACATAATACTTACTGCTTTTGCTCATCTTCATCACACCTTACTATATACATGTCAAATAAAGCTTGCCTGTCATCAATTATTCTCTTTTTCCCAGCCTCACTTTTAATTTCCAGAAATAGAGACCTAAGAGCCTTACCCTTACTTATCACCCTTGTTGATTTCCTCACATGTTTGTTCCCTTTCCTTGGTTGTCCTCATGAACTTCTTTGTCCTCTTCATCCTCTTCTTCTCTTTTATTTTCTTCTTCATCTTCTTTGTCCTCATGCACTTGTTTGTCATCTTCATCCTCTTCGTCTCTTTTATTTTCTTCTCTACTCATCTCCTTTTCTGATTGAGTTTCTTCTTCTTCTTCTTCATTTCTATCATTTTCTGATTCAGTTCCTTCTTCTTCAATTTCCTCATCCTCTAATTCACTTCCTTTGACAACTTTTTCCTCTTCTGATTCAGATTCTTGTTCCTCATCTTTCTCCTCTTCGCTTACATTGTCACTATCCTTCATTAGTCTTAACTGAAGGGCCATAATTTCCTCTCCCAGCATTGACACTAATCAAGCATATGTTTTCTTGATCTCCTATACAAATAAAATTCAGAACTTCAATCTGTAAGCAACAGTAAAAAAAATTGTACATTAAGCCTACAAGTCTACATACCGGGTGAGTTAAATTTTCTGTATCAAAATTGGTGTCTTGACTAGTTGGATGCAATATTCCTCGATTGCTCTCCTTCTCCATGTTAACTCTTTGCTGCACTTTTTTTTCATCCCAAAGTGCAAGAGCATACTTGACATGTGAAGCTTTTGTTTTCCCCAGTGGAAATTTTGTAGACAATATAGCTGCATGTGATATGAATGATAAGTTAACAGCACCCATTGACAACATTCAGACCATAAAATGACAACAGAAATATACAAATTATAATAGCACTTTCTTGTAGGAAGTATAGACAACCTGGCACATTCTTCTTCTTTTCAGTCAACTTGCCTTTTTCCAATTGTTTCTTGTACATTCCAATGCCGTTGTATAGTTCATTCAACACATAGGATGACCAATCAAAGTTACCTAATCTATCTTTTGTTGATAGTATTACCTTCAATAAATAATCAGTGACACAAATACTTGCATTAGGATACAACAATGTTCCCAATGCATACATGACAAACAGCACCTCAAAATTTTCATCTTGTTTCTCCTCAGTCAACAATGACGCTATCTTCTTATATGGAATATTACCATACACAATCCTCCATTGCTTGAACACTTCATCCTCATTATTCACAGCTACTTTAATCTCTTCCCCATCAAATGGTAGCCCCATATAGCCCTGCACATCTTTTGCCCTCATTTTCCTTCTCTTCCCTCTTATGGAAATGTTTTTTGTTAGAAGGTCAAATCCACACATAAACTCTCCACACAATTCTCTTTGAATTTTGTGGCAACATACTTCAACCAACTTGTCAAAACCTATCTTTTTTAGCCTATCCATAAGTTCCTTCCTTTTTTTGATATGCTTGCAAACTTGTATAAATTGTTTAGGTGCACATCTTGTGTAGAAAGGAACTATGTGCTTCTTGGACTTTGTAGGAGCTCTTTGTTCCTTAGCCCTTTTACAATATTCCTCTCTTTAGTCTTCAGATAATTTATCCCAAGCCTTCCTCACATGTGGATTCCTTGCTTCAAGTAATTTGTACTTTCTTGAGGTTTTCTTAGAGAATTCCTCTGTGAACAAGACATAACCAGAAAAATTAGAGCTCCTTTGTCCACCTGCATAACTTCCTTCCTTTCCCATTTTTTTAACCTGCCAAAAAAAGGGCGCAAACTATGACTAATTCTACATGATATAGAAGGCAAGTCAAAAAGAGCCTTGTCTAAGGTTTTCTCTAATTCCTATCATAAAAGAATAGAACTTGGCAAACCAAAAAGTTGTTAGAAGTATACATAAAATGTCAATGACAGAATTAGACAAATCAATAAGCAGTTAATATTTAACATTCCTTATTTATTATAAATTTCATATCCAAACTCATACCTTAAGGCTTTCAAGTGTAGACTTACTTTTTACTACCCATTTTGTTCTATTTTAAAGGGTCAAATGATTATCATTCCTTTCAAAAAGAATCCCTCCAGCCTGTTTAACAAGCCACATCAAATGGTTATGTATTCTACCTAGCAAAATAAGTAAGTAGGATCAAATTTTCATTTTTCTCTTAATTTTTGTTTTTCACTTATGATTAGCATGGTGAACAAAGAAGTTTTTACTTTATTTTTCATGTCTTTCTTTTCACCTGTTCATAAAATAGGTTTTGCATATTGTATATGGCAGAAATACTTGCCACAGCCACTATCTTATAAAATAGGTTTTCCCAAATACTATCTTCCGGTTTATTGAGCTGAGTAATCGCATATTGCAGATGGTAGAAATACTTGCATCAGCCTAATACCATAAAAATGGAAGAATTTAATAAATAAATATATTTGGTGCATGCCACACCATGATTTAAAGAAGAGCAAAAAAGACAATCATGTCGAAAGAGCTTTCACAATAGCATCAGATAACTTGCACAATGCAGTAGCTCCTAACTCTATCTTGATTATCTATGGTTTAGGACCAAAATTAAAGTTTTCCCCTGTGCAATGCAATGCACAAGATAAATAATAACCTAATGGGAATTTTGATTATTAGTTTTCAGTAATGGGAAAAGGCGCAATCTGGGAGAAAAATACAAAGAAATAAAACTTTTAGACAATGCAGAAGGTAAAGACACTACTCATCCCCCTCATGAACCTTAAAACTTGTTTCAACATCTAATCTGACCAATTGTATTATGCTTTAAACTACAAATTGGCAGTAGAGAATGAAAGGGGAAAAGAAAAAGGCTGGAAAAACAAACAATTATTCGCAGAACCAAAACTCAACGTCTCTGCCTTCGTCATTCAGCGACCTCCGTTCCCAGAACTCGATGTCTCTGCCTCCGTCCTTCAAAACTTGGCGCCTCTACCTCTGTCATTCAGTCTCTGCCTCTGTCGTTCAGTCTCTGCCTCCATTGTTCAGTCTCTGCCTTCGTCATTCACAACTGGGCATCTCTGTCTCTGTTGTTCAGCCACCTTAAACACAATAACCAACACTCATTTAGGTCTCCAAAACTATTCTCCCTTCAACACTGTCATTTTCTTCCTTCTCCAATGACAACCGTGTGTCTTGTAAGGCAGAAAACTAAAAAGGCTCTAACAGATTTTACTTTAGGGGCAAGAGAGTCATTTCACCATTCTGAAAATTGCATCCAAGTCCCTTTGGGACTTTAGAAGAATTATGAGATTTTAGGGGATCTTTTTACTGTATATTTGGTTCTGTAAGACCTCAATGTCATTTTCCCTAAAATCTATGCGCTGTGAGCTAAAAATGCCTATTCACATGCAGGTTGGCTAAACTCGGCTTGGTAGATTGGTGTGTTGGCGTAACAACCATTATTTACTTCTTTACTTTTTATAATTTTTCTTATACAATGTACAAAAATATATAATGAATTTTTTATTTTTCCTTCAATTACTTGATTGAAAGTACTAAATAAATGGTACAAGTATTTTTTTATATTTTTTAGATAAAATATAACATATAATAATATAAGTTGATTAATTAATAAAATTAAAAAAATAAATAAATAAATAAATGCAAGTAAGCTTGCAGGCTCACAGCCCAACTTGCAATGAGTTATGAGCCTGGCGATGTGGCATTAAAAAAGTTTATTGGGTGACGAGCTGGCTCGTAGTCATCCTAATCTATTATTTTTGACAGGTTGGATTCACATACTCATATTACCAGCTTTATTTTCTATCATTGTGTAATTATTACTTTTTATTTAGAGAGACAATTACTAACAACATATATTTTAAGTGGGATCCAATCAATAACCTTAATTGTCACCTACAAATTAAAAGTTGGGAGAATTGCAATTAGGTCCCACTCAAGGGAATTAATTATAAAAAGGTCCTTTGAAATCATGAAATTATTCTGAAGTCCCAAGGGACCTTTTTGCAATAAATTTTATTTGTTTAATTACCAAATTACCTTTCTTCTTTTTTAAAATTTGTATTGACCACTAAAAGAGCAGTGGTTGACAACTCAGGGTGCAAGGATTGATAACTATCGCGACTGGTTTGACAACACATTTTCTCAGCATATCACACCATAAGTTGTCAAACCAGCTGCTATAGTTGTCAATCCTTACACCCTGAGTTATCAACCACTGCTCTTTCAGTTGTCAATACAAATTTTAAAAAAAAAAGAAGGGTAATTTGGTAATTAAACAAATAAAATTTATTATAAAAAGATTCCTTGGAACTTCAGAATAATTGCATGATTTCAAGGGATCTTTTTGTATTTAATTCCCTTGAGTGGGACCTAATTGCTATTTTCCCTTAAAAGTTCTTTCACATCACTAGGCGATATTCATCATATTCTATAATTATTCTAAACTTGAGGACTACAGTACACGCAGAAGAAAAAGAAACAAAAGCAAAAAGACAGTTACAATCCACCTTCTAATTAAATCTTAACTAAAACGAAGAAACTAATTAATTAGGCGAAGTATCAAAACGTACGGCAAGGATCCGGCCATGTAATATAACAAATATTTTTTTTGGTGAACGAATATAATAAATAATTTTCAAACAAGAAAACTTGTTTGATTTGATTTGTTGTGATCTTTCTCTCCACATTAATTAATGAATTAATTAACAAAGCTCATAAATATGATTATAAATAGAAAACAATATATGTACATTGAAACACACACACACATATACCTACATAAATTTTCACTTGTTTATTGCAAGCTTCGATATGTTCACACATAAAGATACAGTCTGATCAAAACCAAACCAGGCTACTTACACCAAACTACAAGATCAAACCCAAATTAAATAAAAGAATTAACAAACGAATTGCTCTGAGATTTTTGTACACTAAAAATAGCCTTAACCTTAATCTGACCATCATCAGTTAACTTCAGGAATACTCTCTAACGCAGGGCTCCAGTTGTGGCCAGCAGGATGAAGATGATGATGCTGATCTCTGGCCTCCATTAAACGAACCAGAACTTGTTCTGCAGAATTATTAGTATTCTTCTTCTTATTCTTATTCTGCTTCTCTAATTCTCCCAGTAAAACTTGAAGCTCCTTCTTCGAAATCTTTATCTTAATCTTCCCATTAGAAGAAGAAGAAGCATTTGAATCTCCCACAAGAAGCTTGTCCTCTTTATTGTTCATCAACTTCAATTCATCAAACACCTTCGTTGAGCTTCTGTTCCTGCTATTCTTGCTCGATGTCAGAAAACTCCAATCCTCGCCACCCCAGTGATCAACTGAAGAGGACGACGTCGTTCCGCAACAGTTTCCCATAATGATAATATGGGCTCCGTTAAAACTCAGAGGAATTATGAGAGTGATCGTGTAATGTAAGGATAATGGGTGGAGAGAGATGAGTGGGGGGGATGAGTAGATAAGTTTGAGAAAGGCTTGAAAATGAAGATGGTAATGAGATAAGAGAGAGATTGATTGATGGGTTTTTTGTATATATACGAGAAGGTAGGCGACAGGGTCAATTGACCTTTTAGTTTTATATACATGTGCTCCTACGTGGCTGCTTTTTGGATGGGTTTTTATTGACCAAATTTAATCCTCTTTGCCGTCGCAGACTCACTACATAATTAACTAACTAAATATATGCACAAGTACGTCTACTATATATATTATATAATTTCTGTCTTTAATATAAGAATTAGATAACTAGTTTAATAATATTAAAAAAAATTAATTAAGTTGGTTGTTTGTTATAAATATGTGTTAACTTTTCCTAACTTTTTAATCATATGCATTAAAACTACCTCTCGGTGAGAATATCTTATAATTAATAGGAATATTTGGAAAAAAATAGGAGACAGAATGGACTGATGTTTTATGTTAAAGACCAAATTCAATGTCTTAATTAGCTTTTATATTAAGGATTGGAAATAGTATGTATATATATAGAGAGATAACTTTTTAGGATTTAATATCTGTTTGCTCTTCTAGTGCTATTTATAAAGCAAAGAAAAAGGTTTTTTTTTTTTGGGTATTGTTATGCGTCACACCATTAAATTTTTAATATGAATATAGTATTATTTTGTCTTTATTTATTATTGTGTAAATTGTTATGTTTTTAAAAAATTATATGTATTGAATATGGATAAAGTTAGAAATAGTGATGTGTGTGAAAAAGGGGAGGAAGGAGCATCTTTTGGGTTTGAAGCGAACGGATTACGCAAAGGGAATCCAACAGTAGGGTGTGAACTTAGATTTGAACTAAATAAAGGAATATTGGACTTGTAATATTTTGCCCTTTTAATTAATTAAAGTAATTAATAGCCTTCACGTGTCTGCTTTTAATTTAACACTTAAATCTTAATATCCACGTTCCTTTATTTGATTTGATTAATCCTCAATCAGATATACTATATATGTACGTGTTTTAAACTAATTAAAATTTTTAGTTATCCGCTTGTTTATTAATTAATGATATCTATGTTGAAACACACAAATGACCTCTACCAACGAATTAAAATTAAGTCGAAATGTTCAATATTATTCAATTTTTAATCTCTTCTTTCTTTTCGTCATAACATTGATATAATAAAATGAATCTATGTTTATATATATATATATATATTGATGCATCATTTTTTTTATTCGAGAATTGCATCATTTTCCCTTGAAAATACAGTTTATGGGGACTTTGGCTTTATGTTTGACTACAATGTGGACTTTTAACATCTTAAAATTGTATATATAATCTCGATGATGATAAATATGTTGATTTATTTGAAGAACTGGAGCCACACCTCAAATTAAATGAACCTCACAATTTTATTTTGTGTGCAAATAGTAATCACTTATTAACATTTTGATTTGAGCAATATACACATAACCTATTAATTAAATTTTAGGTGACGTAAAGAAAATTACTTGAGGATTTTATTAGCGAAGTCGATCATATAAATCCAAAAACACACGTAATTAATATTAATATTGCAAGCTAAGGGGAAAAAAAGAGAAAACATCAATATTGAAAGCAAGTCTATACTAGGAACATACCAAGGAGGTAGTACATCAAATTAAAACACCAGACAAATTCAGGAATGTTTGGTTTTTTTTTATATTTTTAATAGTCAAATCAAATTGATTACAAGATTAATTATTTTGTAAGAATATGTTTTTCTGTTGTTAGAATTTTCTGGAAAATGGAAGATGAGAGTTGATGAAGCCAGAGTAAGATAGTTTGGCTGTGGTAGGATGATTCATAATTAATCAAATGAAAATGTTGGCCTCAAACCCACAGAAAAACACCATAGTACCACGTTTTGAAGCCCATAGGACTGTATTATTACTGCTTGAGATGAAACATATATATATATATATATATATGGAAAGATATTATTAAGATCATTCAACTATATATTTATATTCTGAATTGAATTGCTGATGCAAGCAAATAATAAAATTCAAAACACCAAAGAGAAGATGAATCCTCTGGTAATTAGCATGCTGTTGATTTACTCCTATTAATCTATGATGCTTAATGTAAGAATTAATCAACTAATTTGAGTGAATTAAAAAAACTAAATAAATTATTTAATTCTAACCAATGTGGTAGGAACTCTCTAAAATATCCTAATGTAATGTTATATCATATCAATATAATTTACAAATTGGATAAATTAGTTTGAGAAAAATATAATAATAAAAATGAGAAATACAATGAACTAAAGTATTATATTTATGATCAAAACCAATTTCTACGTAAATATAATAAATTATACCTAGATACAATAGAGATTTTTGCATTCTATTTATTTTGATTAAGAACATCTACTAAATATACATTAAATGAGAAAATAATAAAGGACGAAATTAATACAAAATAGAACCTATTTGCAGTTAAAAAACTTTATAACTCAAACTTTTTTGTTTATAATGTGAAGATCCACATTTCCACATATATATATATATATATTTCTTATAAGATTCTTAATTGTCATCCTCCTTACCAAATAATAGGATATCGTGATAAAAATAAGTGTTTGCGAGAAAATATAATTAAACTAAATAAAGTAAATTTTAACTTTTCTTAGAAAATAGAAAGAAATATTATATCATGATTACTATATTGATTCAAATTGTTTTCGAGTCATCCCACCACAAGACGTGGCTAAAGACAACATCTAGTTGTCACTTCACTTAGGTAGGTTGGTAGTTGGAGGCACATGCAATCTTTCTAACCGTGAGGGACAATACTCTTCAGGTACTCTAACAATAAATTCGCTTTTTATTTATAAAGTGCATTTGATAGTTTTTTTGTTTTGTGGTTTTATGCTTGATTTTAGTAGGGTGAAAAACAAAGTAAAGAAAGAGATAGAGTGTACATTATGAAAAATGAAGGTGGTAAGGTGGTATTTGGCAATAATTAAAAATACTTTTAAACAGTATTTTTTAAATAAAATGAGACAAATTTCACTATATATTTACTTCATAAATCATAAAAACACTTTTAAAATCATAAAGTAAGGAATGTTTGTCAAATTCGGGAAGAAAGGAATTAGTTTTTAAAGGATGGCAAGGGCTCTAAACTTGGGGTCGGGCAGCGGGCGAAGGCTAGATTTGCTCGTCCCTCTCCCTTATAAAATTAATTATTTTATTATTATTATCATAATTTAATAACAATTAATATTACTTTTTATCCAAATATATTTGAAACATGCATCAACTCTATGCACAAAATTACTCATCCAACATTCTTAAATCTGCCATTTTATTTCATTTTATGTATATATACATTACCATGCATTTATGCGTTTCCGTTCAAAATCCAAATTGAGCGATGTCGCTTTTCATAGTTGGCATAAAATCACTTTCCTTGAAAGACTTTCAATTTTTTCGATTCTTTTCACACACTTCATTTTTCCTGCCAATATACATCATTTCTGTTAGTATTTCGATCCTTCAACTGAGATATTAAAATAAAATTACGAGAAAATTCATTCATAGATGATAAAAAAAAGGTATCAAAAAGAAAGAAATGTCAACTTTTTTGGATGAGAAAGAGGAATTTGAGGTGTCACTTGTCCTCCCTTCCACTGCTCCATAATTTTTTCTTACTTTTCAAATATTTTTCTTGTTTATTTTTATTATTACATTCTATATAAAATGTATGAAATTTTGATATCTCATGAGTTAAAAATGGTGTAGTTTCTTTTTAATTTAGATATAATTAGACGGCAGCAAAGGAGGATAAATGACAACCCCAAGTCCGAAAAAAGAGAGCCAGATCTGTTGGCTTCATCTGACTATAATTTGTCAAAATATATACTCTCAGCTTTTATAATATGTTGGAGGTGATAATTTTATAGTTTCGGAATTTTAAAAAATTTTAAAATACTGAGCATATATTTTATATTTAAGACAAAATAGATTGAGTCTTATATTTAAGATCAAAATAAAAATTAAATAAAATTTTATATTAAGAAAAAGAAGTAGTATCAGAATTCAGAGTGTAAATTTGGTGATGTCAGTATTATGAGATTACTCTCTGAATGCCTTTTTTGGCCAAAAATTACAATAAAATTCTTCATTGCGGGTATATCAGCATTGACAGCAATCATCAAATTTCAAACAACTATATATATATATATATATATATATATATTATATACTTTTCATGAGCTAGTATTATATTTTGTTTTTCAATTTCTCTATGTGAAATACTCCTGGGAGTCACACTGGTTTTTTGTTTATTAATAAGTCACAGAATAATATTAACAATATTCACATATTTTATGTTAATTTTTTTTAATTGGTAGGATTAGGTCTGATTTGCGTAAGCCTAAGAAAAAGAATGAATGTCTCTGTCTAGACACATACAAATATAATTGGTGGCCACGCCCTTATTGTGGATAAGGATGACCCTCTCAATTATCCGCAAATTTAAACGAAATTTATGTCTGAAAAATATAATGAATTTAACAGAAAAATTATTACCATCTTTTTAAAATTTCAATTTTAATTATCTTTTTAATGTTATAATTTTTATCCATATATTTAATATTCTTCCTGAAAAATATTTAAAATAAATAATTAATAGATCTATAGAATACTAATCTTTGAAAAACCTTTTTTTATCATTTTTAAAACCTATTATTTATGATAAAGGATAATTATAAGGTCCATATTAGAATAATTAATAGCTTCTTTAATAAATTCCATTTTCAAGGACAAATATAATTTACCAAAATTTTAATATCCTTCCATCTTTTTTTTTTAAAAATAAAGAAAAGTATATGAGAGTTGAGTCTTGAATGTGGCTAGAT